CAGTACTGCCAATTATATGAAGAACAAGAATAAAATGTGGCAAACCACTCCAAATAAGTTTTTCATAAAAATTAGATCAATAAACATTAATTCATAGCATTTTTATTGCATCTTCTTATATGTAACTATATTTTAATTAAAATTTACGCAAATTATAAATTAATTTTAAATGAGACTAAAATTTGAGGTACAAATTACATTATTTCCTATAAGATATATTTGATTAATATGTTTTTGATTAGAACACTTATTGAGAGATTCTTGTATACATACATACATACATTGTGTAACGTGACTGTTTACATAACTTTTAGCTTGTTTTCTAAGAAAAGCCAGATATATTTATACAGAATCAATATTTTTTTTTTTTATTACCCATCAGAAAGCATCATCTGTTTGCTTTTTATTTCAAAATCTTCAACAATCAACTGTTGAGAATGCTGTTGTTCTTTACAAAAGCACAGGAAAGTATTTCAAATAGGCTCCTTTATGATTTGACACAACTGATGGCAGATGAGATATTTTCTCCTTTTGTTAAGGAAGCTTATTTCAGTTTGCTTGTATCTTCAAACGTGGTACAGTTAAGCACTTCACTAATGAATCAAACATTAAATTTCACAATAAACAAAACCCAATATTTATGCTTATACATGTCAACTCACATTGAAAACATCAGGAATATCAAAGATCTTCATGTACATGATTACGTAATCTTGATAATGCACACCAAGTTTACATTATCTGTGCTGGCCCTGGTTTGAAAGAAAGCTGTACATATTCCAGCAGGATTGATCTGTCTTACTGGAGTAACTGGATGAAAAGTTTTGTGATCATGTCACCCACATGTCCAAGCATGCAAGGTCAACCTCTAATCATTTTTATTGAATAGTACTATTTATTTTATTTTTTTTTAAATAGAGATTTTTCTATTGAATATCTTTATATTATAATTTCTTCTCAATTACTTGGTAGATCCTGTCTGTGTTCCCACACACACAGATACCAAATAAGAAATAGGGAAATCTCTAGCTTGTCTAATGTCTAAATATTAGGTTAAAAAAAAATTTTTTTCTTGATCAGACTAAGAACTTGTGTGTGCATTATAGAAATAGCTGGCCACTTGTATTCAAAGATACCCTACTAAAGCAGTTAGCCAGTCCCTACTGCAGATGCCTGCTTCAACACTCACAGAGCACACCTGTGGTTTGTACTGTAACTATGCTGAGCAGACCTTAGTTACAGTTTCTGGGTGAGAGCATGATTGACAATATGACCTAGGCCATTTTCACAATTGGGTCAGCCGTTTCCAACCCTCCAGATCAATATCATCAGGAAGTCTCCTTCCTGATAAATCAACCATGGTGAGATTTGAACCTGGGTTACATGGGCAGAAAGCAAATGTTTTAACCACTCAGCCACGTGACCATAAATATTGGGACAGCAGGTCATTATTTAAACATATTATTAAATTTAACAGACAAGCCATTCTAATGTTTGAATGTTTGCTTTAATTTCTGGTGAAAATAAAGACAAAAACTGTCCAATGTTTGGATATTTTTTTTATTAAGTTCGTCCTAAGCTTTTAGCTTACATGAGCCTTTCTCAGAGTGGTTGTTATACAGACATGAAACAAAGATCCACCGTCAAAGATAATATTTTGTTATTTTGACATAGAAGATTGCTATGCAATGTTAATGGTCATGGAATAGCAGACGCAGACCTTAAGTTTAAGATGTGTTTCTATGACGTCATACCATGCAATAATGCATGTGTGGGCTGGGCTTGTAGATGACTGTCTGGTAGGTACATATGTTCTCTCAGCACATCTTACAGGAGCTGCCTACAGAGAGATTATTTCAAAAACTCTTTCAGAACTGCTAGAGGATGTACTCATGCTAATATGAAGATGAATGTGGTTCATGCATGATGTGACTCCAGCACATTTTAGTCACATTGTTCATGGTACACTGGCTGACATCTACCATGAAAAATGGATAGGTAGGGGGGGGGGAACCAGTTCCATGGCCTGCACGTTTCCCCAACCTCAATCCTTTGGATTTTTATTTGTGAGGTTACCTAAAACAATTGGTTTATGCAGCAGACATTAATAATGCAGAGACACTTCATCAATGTGTCATGGGGGCCTGCAAAACCATTTGACACCATGTGGGAATATTTGAAAAGGTCTGCCAGTCAATGATCCAATGGGTTCCTGTGTGTATGTAGAAACAAGCAGAAAATATTTTGAACATTTCTTATGAGTTGCTGAGGTAAAACAATGGTGATTTGGACATATGTCAATATGGACATTTTACCTTGTTCTGATGTCAGGAACCTACCCCAAAGTTTGTAAAAGTATTTTTGATACAATATTATATATATATATATATATATATATATATATATATATATATAGAGAGAGAGAGAGAGAGAGGTATCTCAAAAAAATAAATGAAAACTTTTCTTGAAGCTTTGATTTTAATTTTAATTCCAATAGATTAAACTTAATATTTCCAATGAGCAAAATGTGGTAAACATGCTTGCAAAAATAAATGGGGTGTCAAAAGAACGTTTTTTCCATTAACAACCACTATTATTTTAACTACCTTTACTCTTCTGCAATGTTTAGAGTTGTAATAAAACCTAAAAGTGAATTTATACATTTTCTTTGTTCTTGAGAAAACAAAAATATTAAACAATATTTATTAGATTGTGTTTAATTAATTTCTTGAGATTTCAAAAAATTATTAAATACATGGAGGTGGGGTAACAGATGTAAAAAAAAAAAAAACAAAAAAACAAAAAAAAAAACAAAAACAAAAAAAAACACACAATTCTAATATAATTTCATTCTTTTGTCAATGAAACTTTAATTTAAATCTGACAATCTTTGTAAGAATTTCCAAATCATTGTGTTTGTCACTGCAAAAAAGATGCTAAAATTTCTCATACAAATTTATGGTCACCTGCTTGGCAAAACAAGAAAAATATTTTTAATTTTGAATGTTCTAAAAGATTAAAAATTATAATTTAACAATCAAAAACTCCTTTGGTCTTTCCTCTTAATAATAATCAAGATTGACAATAAAACTTTGTTTTCTTGCACATCATGACAGTGGAACTCCCTTTCATTTACTTGCTTCCCTGAAAACCACAATCTTCAAAAATTTAAATGCAACATCAATCACCATCTGTCATCTTGAGCTCCATTCATCTTTTATCATTTCCTCAACTCTATAGGGAGAAAGCTAGTCTTTTCTCTCACTGTGTGCTGGTGGCATTCCTGTCTTGCTTGGGGTGAGAAAAAGAGAGGGGGGAAAAAAAAAATAAAAATATATATATATATATATACACACACACTTTAAAACTGATGTTTCTATACTATATCACTCAATCAAAGTCTATAATACTAATCAAAATATTTGTGATAAGTTTTTTTTTTTGTTTTTAGCTTAATCCCAAAACCATGTTGATTCAAATGAAATTTATAAGTGACGGAAGAGAACATATCTAGAACATACTTATCAGTTTCAAAATGTGGAAAAATCAGTTTAGTTTGCTCAATTTCTTGCAAAGATTAACTTAAAAAACATGTGGGGCCCAATAGCACATACTGAAATGTTTTCAATATGTAAATCTGTTGTTTATGCATGCAAAAGAGTTTCAATGTTTTTCAGCATTGATTTTAAGGACTGGATTAAAGCTTGTCCTATGATTTTAAGAAAAGAATACAAAAAAACATCAGAAAAGAAAATAAGAAAACAAATTTTGTATCTTGAGTTTTATGATACAGCATCAAGTCTTTTGTTATCACTAATTCAGGATGAACTATCCTTTTGTTTTTAGTTTGTCATGGTAAAAAGGATATCTATAGCACTCAAGAATAATCAATCACAGACATGAGAAACAGTAGATTGTCTTTTGCTTTCTGGAAAGATTTATCAAGAATAGAAGAGATTCAAATGACTCATTTGACTAATTCTCAGTTATAAATGTTCAAACAATTTACACTAGACAAAAAAAAATAAAAAAATAATGATGTTGCCTTATTATCAAATCAAAAGAACCACCCAAAGATGTCTGGAGAATCAACCAGTCAAATGACTCAGGTTTTGAAATTAGATTTAACACCAAACTTTAGATAAAAATCTTTCAAAATTTATTATACCAAGCAAAATAAATATTTTGTATTCAAACCTATCAAAAGAAACGTATTTTCAGATGGTTTTGGAGATTCCATAGCTTTGTTTAGTGTGTACCATACTTGCCAATTCTGATTTCCAGGTCTTTTCCTCTTAATTGAATACTTGTTTCAGCTTATTTCCGCTTTCTGTGATTATTTCACTATCTGGTTGATTGTATAACATTGTTTACCTGGTTTTCTTGAAAGCTAAATGTAATCCTACCACTTCACCTGCAATCTCTAACCACATAAGTTGTACCTGTTTTAAGTGGCTTTTGATTAATGCCACATTATCTGCAAAGTCAGTATCTGTGATGTATGTAGCCAGGTAGTGGAGATCTGACTAAATACTTTTTTTGATAAATTGTTAATATCAATATTTCTAAATTGATTGGAAATAATCTGAAGAAAAAAACAACCATAATTAAAACAAAAGCAAAAAACTAAAAAGCTAGTCTTTTTTCAGTCAAAAATTACAAACACTTAATGATAATTTGGTTATGACAGTTTATTCCACCATCAAGAGACCAAAGCAGCTTCATTTGAATATGTATTATAAGATGATTTATTTGATTGAGCAGTATTCTATGGCTTATCAACCCTTTGCAAGTTATTTAAAGCCAGAAATCTTTTTAAATAATGATTTAGTGATACAAGTTTTATTTATTAACCCATAGCTGGGGAGAAGTGGAGTTATGCTTTTCCTCAAGGGTATTTGAGTGTAAGTGGATATAATGAACCCAACTGGAATTAGAACTTGGTTCTCCAATTAACAATTCCAAGCCATTATCCATTACACCACCCACACATCCAAATTTACAGCACCTGGTATTGCCAAGCAGTCACCCATCTAGGTACTGACCAGGCTCAACATTGCTTCACTTCAGTGATTGTATTAGAACCAGTGTTTTAACTTGATATGGCTGTAAGTCTTGTTTATTTGATTAGCCATTAATTAATTTGTATTCACTTAACCACAATTACACAAGTTAATAATTATCTGTACTATTGTTATATTTTTCTTTAGGTTGTTTGAAATGAGTTCTATGCACACATGTGAGATCATTTGGTATCTGATGTCACTAGTGAACATTTGTTGTTGTTGTTGTTGCTTTGTGCTACCAAAGAGTTAAAACATGGCCTGTCTGCTGTTATTTTCAGTTGATGAAGAATAACAAGCACCTACCTTTTTTTTTTTTTTTAAATTTGCTAAAAGGTGTATGAGGGGCTGAAATCCTTTGAAGGCTTTCAGCACATGGGAATAAGGTTTTATCATTGCAGAATATATAAGTATGAATTGCAAATTCAAAAAACATGCATCAGCTATAACATTGTGCAGAGTTGTACAATCATTCTAATGGCTGACCATCATTAATGCATCCATATTTTGCTGTCCAAAGAAGCACATCATTGATCAGCTTAGCTTTATTTCTCCAATACACTATAAATTCAGTTCTTTCTTAGATAACCTGAGTTTTGTTATTTGCTTTTTTTTTTTAAATGCTGATTCTTGGATAGATTTAGAGCAGCTATGTACCATCTATTTTCTTTTTGAATGCTTTTGTTAATATTTATGCTGTACCGATGTGACAATGGCTTAGACTCTTCTTATGCTCCCCCAAGTTTCAGAAATTTTAAATTTTGTCTCTAGGTCGTCAGAAATACAATGGAAAAACGGCTTGATAAGGACAAATTCCCTCAGAAGGACAATGGATATGACAAGTACGAAGTGAGTGCAGAAGGGATCTCGGCTCAACCCACTTTCCAAAATCAGGCCAAATAACCAAATATTTTATTTTTTTTAAATCCCTTATTTATCGATCTGAAAACTTTTCAGCACCCTCTTTTGCGTTATAAACATAAGTCACTATTAATATCGTAAACAATAAACATTCAATAGTTGTGATAAAACTTAAAACAGCAATTTAATTGTTACCAAGTTTTTGTGTCTAAATATGCAAGATAATTTTCTGTGAATGTATCGTCATAGTAAAACAGCCTCATTTGAATTGTTAATAAAAATGAACACTTGTCTGATTTCGAGAAAGTTCATTTAGTTGGAAAAAAAATAAAATGTCATTATGGTTTACAAAGGGGAAGGGAAAGGAGAAGTTGTCATCATTTGTCGCTTCAGTTCTCTTTTTAGAGAAAGCTAATCCGTTGGCCTCGATTTGTGCAAAAGAGTTGACAGTTTTTGAACTGAATTACTACAACCTATTGTAGTCTCTTATCTGTTTTCATGAGATATAGAGAGATTTGAATTTACTCAAGCCAACAAAATTCTCTTTATACATCATCTACAAATATTTGATGAATGTGTAAAAAGATTAAATACTTTATTAATTATTTCTACTACTTAACATTGGACTTTAGTTACTGTTGGTTAAAGAAAAAAATTTTTTTTGAATATTTTGTGAATTATTCAGACTAGATCTCCTTAGTTATCTTTTTTTTTATCATGACACTTTAGCTAACATATTCTTTCTTTAGTCTTCCTTGAGGCTATCACGTTTTCCCACCACAGCAGGAACATTCAATGAATGAAGAATTAGTGTGCCCACTCTAAAATTGGAACCCTCACTAGAATGTTCAGGGAATAGCATTTCTTTCATAACGGTTTATGTCAAACAGAAAAAAGTGACATGCTGAGATAACGAGATGTAAAAAAAAAGGTATGACATTTTTATATTTTATTTTTAATTTACGTTCTTTCTTTATTAATCTTATGGAGTTCATTTTCATACATGTTACCTTACTCAACTGTGAATTAATTGCCTATACCCATTATTGAAAAAGCAATCTAACAGTATCAAGTATTTTTTTTAGTTATCTCCCTTGCTCTGACGATGCGAAGTAAATCTCTTATACCAATTGTGTACCGTTCCATTGTGTTTATGAAGCAGGCAAGTGAGAAGACAAAAGATGGCAATAACAATTAGAAACATATTTTTAAAGAGTTACATGTGATTGATTTTTTACTGCTTATTAACCTTTTGCAGGTTAAATAAAAAGAAAAAAAAAGATGAAATATTTATTTTAGATTGCAATTGCAGGAATCTTTTTCGAGATAAATCCTAGCTGGGGGAGGAAAGGCGGATTCACCTTACCCAAGTAAGGTGAATATAACGAATCCAACTGGAATTTGAACTCGGCTCTCCGATTTCCAATCCCGAGCCGGTATCCATTACACAACCCGCACATCCAAGTTTACAACAAATCTGGTATTCCCAAGCGGTCACCCATCTAGGTACTGACGTTGCTTAACTTCGGTAATCTAATCATACGAGAACCGAAGTGAAGAAAGCCTCATAATAATAATGTTAAAAAAGAAAATTTAAATATTCCATCATTTTTTATGGCTGAATAAAATGATTATTAAATTAAAAATATTTGAGATTCGGTTTTTCATAAATTACTATCTTCGATGAGATTTTATTATTTTATTCGAGTACAAGAGGACTTTGCAGTAATTAGTCCAATTAGCAAAATTTTCCTATGTAAAACTTATTAAATTAAAACTTTGCAAAATACATTTCAAAACAGAAGCCTTGTTAAAAGAATTTAATAATTAATATATTTTTTAAGTCTTCAAAAACTGAGCCATCAGATCTTAATTTGGAAATTTGCTTTGTTCAGTAATGTTTTTAGTTTTATTTCGTAAGTGATAATTTAGTTAGACTCATTACAAAGAAATGTTTACGCAACCTTAAAAGTTCTCGCAATTTGTCATATGAATTTGTGAGATTATTAGGTGACATTGAAACTAACGGGTGATTCACGCGAGATATTCCGAAGAACATATCGATTGAGACGTTGTTGAGTGAAAAGTAACTACAGAGATCGAAATCATTTAACATTTTAAAAATACCGCGTTACACAATTTTAACTTTATGAAACGGAAGAAAAACATATCTAATCAAATCACCTAAAATTTCTTTGCTGGTGCCTGGACAACTTGACTCTGATCAGAGAGAATAATAACCCCCCCCACTTTAAAAAAAAAACTTCAGGGAGGTATTTATCCGCATGTTCACTCGAACGGATTTATTAATACAAAGCCTAAAGCCGGGTTTCAAGTGGAGACTCAAGCGTACAAAACAGTACACGAGACAAAAGGCAAAAATTGCTCCAGTTCGCTCGGCATTTTTATAAAGTCGACTCAGGTGCCGAGAACTAACCAGGAGAGGTATTGCTTTAAAGCCAAGCAATATATATTCATTAACCTCAATGTGATTCTGGTTGAGCCAGTTTGAAAATCATTTTGAAAGGGAAAATAAGCGTATAAAAGCAATAAATAAACCTGTTGTAACCCAAACCTGATTTATTAGAACAACACTTCGGTGTCTAATCACCGAAATGATTTACAACACAATCCAACATGTGTAGACTAGAGACATGTCTGCTCATGTGAGCAAATTTGCACTTTTGTTATACAAAAATGGTTCTGAAAGCATGAAATTTTTACTCAACAAAATGTTCAGAAATATCGGCAATTAACTGGTCAGGTTTCAGGATTTTTAGCAAGAGGGATAAGTTGTACAAATATGAATTCGAAAGAGAAAAAAAAAAAAATACTTTCCTGGGTGGGGGTCGATCCAAGCTATGGCTATCATTAAATACAATTCTCCAACCAAAACTTTTCAATTGTGGCAGTCGACAACTTAACTAACATCTATAAAAAATTTATATAAAAATTCATTTTTCACAATTCACATCAACCATAGTAAATACATTCATTAGCATTCTAAATGAGAAAAATTCCTTGCCCTTGTCTAATTGATTATTAGCTAAAAGATGGAAAATGAAATAAATTACTAGTGGGTTGAGGGTATATCCCCCCCCCAAAAAAAAACATTATCAAAAAACCTATTGTCATAATAGATAAATAAATCAGGTTCAATAGAACCTCGTTTAGGTGTCAAGACTTCCCATCACACGATAATAAATCTCTACGTATCTACAAAAATTGTCAGTGGAAAAACGTCATAAGAAGTAGTTGGAAAAAAAAAAAAATTATTGAATAAAAGTAGTAGTAGTTTGACTAATCTCTGAAATGAAATACTAGATTTTTGGATAGTGTTTTTTTTTTTTTTTTTTTGTCAAGGCTTTAATTGGTAATAAATTATTACTTTATTTAATTTGGTGACATTGAATTAAAATTATGTGGATGGCTGGGAGATCATAGTTGAACATGAACAGTTACGTTTGGGAAAGTTCTCAACCCAAGCAAGACTCTTTTATTCCCTCTTGATAAATAGATTCACGTACAATACATCTTCAGTCTGTTTTGGGGATGACGTGGAGGGAAGCAACTCTCCAAATACAAAAGATATTTGAATTTGACTTATAGTTATTTTCCAAGCGTAGCTTAGATGTGGCACAAGGCCGAAAGTATAGGGCATCTAGTGAGGATCGAACTCACTTTTTCAGTTGTAACTGATCTAGCGAGACAAGCTTGCAACTGTAATATGAATTGGACAAAAAAAAAAAAAAAAAGCTTTTCCCTTTTGACGGTTTGTACATTTCGCTGCACTGTTGCGTAAAAAAAACAAACCGGAAACTGTTTTCTTGAGTGAAAAGTCGATTTTTATTTTCGTGCAATTTATTTACACCCTCACGAAGGCAACTATAGCATAAGGCAAGTCAAGTTTAATATGAAAGACCTTCATCCGTACCTTAAACAGAGACATACACTACACACAAATTAGCCAGTACTGAAAGAGTTTGTGTTCAGTTTGTCATTTGACCCACGACTTGAAATTCTCAGTAAGATCCTAAGCTTCATATTCAGTCTCGCCTGAAGACAAAACACAGTTGATTCCAACAAAAATAAAGTTTGCCGGATATTAATTTTTTTTTGTTTTTCCAACTTCATCCCGAATCAGTAGTTAAGAAATTATTATTCAGAAGGTTCGCAATATTAATTTA